GCAATTCAAAGTTTCCAACTAGAAAAGTTCACGTGGCTATTTTAGATGAGGGAGTGTTGGAGAGTGCTGGAGAAAGGCGAGTGCAGCTAGCATTCCTCATATCCCATTACTAGCTGACATGCTCTCCCGTGACTGTACTAACTGCGGAAGTCGAGCTTGCCAGAAGAGGACCAGGCATTCCGTCTCTTAAATCTTCAATTTGAGCAACGTTAATCACTATTCTTTCTTATCAGATCCCCTGCAATTTTCATGTCCTTAACCCCATAATTTCTTTTGTCATTTTGTTCGTAAATCCATCTTTAGATTTCTTCGAGCAATTGAAACAAATTTCTGCTCTCTCTTCTGGCTCGATCAAGCTCTTGCAAATTTCTCGCGAGAGCTTTTTTTTGCTCCGAAAACCTCATCTAATCTATTCGCGGTAAGAAGATTGAAACTTTAGATTCACTTAGATTCAAAATTCACTGATTTTCCGGTTACGTTTTCTTAGTAGCCAAACAGATTGTGCTTGTTTGGATCGGAACTAACTTAGTTTTCAGTTTTTTTTTTAATGTAATTAGCATTATCGTAGTTGAAGATGGGAGAAGCGAAGAACGAGATCGACATGGAGGAAGGAACTCTAGAGATCGGGATGGGTAACGTCTGCTTTGTGGTTTTATTTTCGTCTTTATCAAGATTCAGCTAAATTGAACTGTGTTAATGGCGTAATTGCGAAGTGTTTTTGTTTTACCAAAAAAGTTGTTATAGTCGTCATCGTCGTTATATGATTGACTGTAATTTATGTTTGATTCCAAAACACTATTGACAGCGATCGAGTAACCTAATGTAACGTAATGGAGAAACTCTAGCTTTTACATTGATTTAGTCTAAGTAAAAATTGATTCCGGTGTCACTTATAGTTAATTTTCTTACTTTGATTACTTTTAGATTATTTATTGGCTTTTTTTTTCTTTTTCTTTTTTTTTTTTTCAATTTGCAGAGTATAGAACAGTGTCTGGTGTTGCTGGACCATTAGTCATTCTAGACAAAGTTAAGGTAGGTTTGATCAATTTGTCAGTTCAAATTCTGGTATGTATTGTGTGTTTATTGGATAACTTGAGATCCCCTATTTTAGTTGGCTGATTGGTAAGCTCAGAATTTTTTCTCTGCAAAATGCAAGTGTATGCTTGTAATTGTCTTTGGAATTAATGGAGCTTGTTTTGTGATATAATACCATGAATTTTAAAACATCTCAGGGTCCAAAGTATCAGGAGATTGTCAATATTCGCCTAGGAGATGGCACAACAAGGCGTGGTCAAGTCTTAGAAGTTGATGGAGAGAAAGCAGTTGTGCAGGTTAACCATTTGCTTCTGCTAATATTGATTTATTTATTTATTTTTAATTTTCTTGTCATTTTTAGATGCTGATATGTCCTTTTTAATTATAGTTTTGACATAGCATGTCTATATTCTCATGGAGATGTTGCAACATCTATCCTGTTCTGTCTTCCCTTCTTATTTTATAGGTTTTTGAAGGAACATCTGGAATTGACAACAAGTACACAACTGTGCAATTTACCGGGGAGGTAAAAAGCCTCCTTTGTTCTTGGGATGCCAACTTTTCTTTTTGGTGACTTTTAAATTCATTTTGATGGGCGCATAGGTGGAGTGTAGATAGAAATTAGCAGTGGCTTTGTTGGTTTTAAATTGCTTTTGTGCAAGTTATCCTGACAACAAAGCACTCAAACCTGTTATTATGTGGACATTACATTTTATGGCGTGATATCCTATCCCTTGAAATGGCTCCTTCTAGTTTTATGGTTAAGAAAGAACTATCAGTTCTTCATTCCTAAAGCAATCACAATTGGCTTCTGTTATCATGTCAGTGCTTTTGCTTATATCTTTTTGCAATGTTGTTCTCTTAAATTTTTGAATGAATAGAATGATGTTAGCAATTTTGTGTAGCTATTCCGTACCTTTAAATGTTTATTTTGCAGGTTTTGAAAACACCTGTGTCATTGGATATGCTAGGGCGCATCTTTAATGGCTCTGGAAAACCAATTGATAATGGTCCTCCAATTCTGCCTGAGGCTTACCTTGATATTTCTGGTAAGGTGTCAGGGATATCATAACATCTGATAATTGATGGATACCTTAATTCTTGTTGAAAGCTTAACCCTTTTTTTTTTTTTTTTCCTGTTCCTCTTAGGAAGCTCTATCAACCCTAGTGAGCGAACTTATCCCGAAGAGATGATTCAGACTGGGATATCAACAATTGATGTCATGAACTCCATTGCTCGTGGACAGAAGATTCCTCTTTTCTCAGCCGCTGGTCTTCCCCATAATGAGATAGCTGCTCAGATTTGTCGTCAAGCTGGTCTTGTAAAGCGGTTGGAAAAGTCTGATAACCTTCTGGAGGTATGCTTATCCACCATTTTTCAGCTTAAAATGATATAAGCAAATACTTGAGGTTTGTTACATATATTATTTTTCTGAACACTTAGGAGCTTTGATGTAGGATGGGGAAGAGGACAATTTTGCCATTGTGTTTGCTGCTATGGGTGTGAACATGGAGACGGCCCAATTTTTCAAGCGAGATTTTGAGGAAAATGGGTCTATGGAGAGAGTTACTCTTTTCCTAAACCTGGTATTGCCATGAATTGATCTCTATCTCTCTCTCTTCGGCATGATTTTTTGGTTTTGCTATTTGGTCCCTGTGGATTTAGACTCCTTTCTGTTCCTAATCAACCCAATTTCTCTCTAATATGCATGCAGGCCAATGACCCCACAATTGAACGCATTATCACTCCTCGAATTGCCCTCACAACTGCAGAGTATTTGGCTTATGAATGCGGGAAACATGTTCTGGTTATATTGACAGATATGAGTTCATATGCAGATGCTCTTCGTGAGGTACTTCTTCAGATGGCAGAATCTGTAGCATGCAATTTCTCTCTAATGTTTAACATGATCACAACAAAAAATTGCCTTGTTTTGTTACTCAATCAACTCTTTGTTTATATCCCCTTTTCCGTATTTGGTTGTCCCAATTTACTTCTTCATCTCAAAAAGTCAAAGGAAAATATTCTATCAAGTTATATACTATGTCATATTGTAGTGATATGTGCAATACTTGACTGATTGTGTTTTACATGTCTTCAGGTATCTGCTGCTAGAGAGGAAGTGCCTGGAAGGCGTGGTTATCCTGGTTATATGTATACCGATCTGGCAACAATTTATGAACGTGCAGGACGTATAGAAGGAAGAAAGGGTTCTATCACACAAATTCCCATCTTGACCATGCCTAATGATGGTAAAAGTTGGGGCTTCATTGTGGCATAGCTTTCTTCTGGAACATTTCTTATTGTGTGTGGGTATTAAATGTTTGGTTGGTTTTCTTCTTTGAACCAGACATCACACACCCTACTCCAGATCTTACTGGATATATTACTGAAGGACAGATATACATTGATAGGCAACTACACAATCGACAGGTGACTTCAATATTTTACTCATTCGAACATGACCCTGTATCCACCATGAAATATGCTCTGCTTTCAATTATATAGTATGTTTTTTCGTACAATGCACTCAAATGTCTTGTCAAATCTGCTGTTATCCTTGTGTGAGTGAACATTTTCCTGTTCCAGTGCAAGGAAGGGTATACTGCCAATTCTGTAAAAGAGATAAAAAGTCCAGTATCTTAATGAGTTTTAAGTCATAAAATAGATGTGATTCTGTGGGGAATCTCTTTGCAATACTAATATTTTGTTTGATCATTTATCTCCTTTTCTGTCTAAACAGATATACCCACCTATAAACGTCCTGCCTTCACTTTCCCGTTTGATGAAGGTATGACTTTCTTACAGAATAAAATTTTCTCTTGTATACTGATAAACTCGGGGGTTTATGCTGAGTCTTTCTTTCCTATTCTTTTTTTTTTCTTTTTTTTTTCAGAGTGCAATTGGTGAGGGGATGACTCGTAGAGATCATGCCGATGTATCCAACCAGGTCTGGTTTGTGAAGTTATAGGTTGAATTCTCATACGTATTTTCCTGTCACTTTTTTTCTTTTTTTTTTTGAACAGCCATATTTTCCTATCACTTACTAAACCATTTTTCTTGATTTCAGCTGTATGCAAATTATGCTATTGGCAAGGATGTTCAGGCAATGAAAGCTGTGGTTGGAGAAGAAGCACTTTCTTCTGAGGATCTGGTCTCTCTCTCTCTCTCTCTCTCTCTCACACACACACACACACACACACACTCATTTTTATTAACTGTCAAATTGATCTCATAGGAAATAGTTTTTTAATTGTCTTTATTTTTAACTTGCAGCTTTACCTGGAGTTCCTAGATAAATTTGAGAGAAAATTTGTGACTCAAGGGGCATATGACACACGCAACATCTTCCAATCATTGGATTTAGCATGGACATTGCTCCGTATCTTCCCCCGTGAACTTCTGCACCGTATCCCTGCTAAGACACTTGATCAGTATTACAGTCGTGACGCAACCAGCTGAGCTGATTAAAAGTTCCGTCTGCCCTTTGCTTGCTTGTATCACCACCTTGAGCCACCCATTGGTCCTTGAACCAAAAGTTGCTTTGCTTTGCTGCGTGACACAATCAAAATGAGTTTCGTGAGAATGTTGTCTTAATTTCTGCATTGCATTATCCGTTTCCCTTTACAAAAATTATTATTATAAGAACTTGTCATATTTGTTGTGTTTTGAAGTTGAATTTGTGGAAGGAAGAAGAAATCGTGGCTGCTTTGGTCAAAGTCCTATTTTCTACAGGTCCCTCGCTGTTTCTTATTGATACCGAGACTTCGCTAACTCCGTTGACGTTCAGCAAGTCTTGGTAAACAACGCTGTAATTGTCGTAGCGAAATCTGTCGTTATCGATAGCATTTAATTTTGTCAGAGTTTGGTGGAAGTTTCCTTTCATTCCATGGTCAAAACATTCCAGATTTAAAAAACTCGCATTCATCTAACACGTTTTATTCGAAGTCATGGCGAACAAAATGTGAACATCTATATCTAACTCAACTAACATTGAGAAAACAACTAAATGTATTTTTTTAAAATAATAATTATACTGCAATAGAAAAGTGTCAAATTTAAAACTCAAAATTTATATCACAAAAAATATCACTACTTTGCTTTCCAAAGAAAAGTGGGATCATTGGGCCACAGGAGACAATTGGCAAACAACTAATTCTATTTAAACAATGAGAGATTGTAAATCCTAAAAAAAAAATTATCTTTCTTGTCGTGGAAACCAAGAGGAATGGTGATGGGGCGCGCACGGAAAATACATTCTGTTCTGAATCGAAAATGAAATTCATTCTCTGTCTCGCCCTGCAACTTGCATACCTAGTGCCTACCCTACAAAAGTATAAATCCCACATCGAGTGTTACAAATTTCGCCGGCAAAGTGGACACGACCTTTTCCCTATGAGCCACCTCTCTATGCATGCTTGATGGAACATATGTTGACATTGTGGTAAGCACTTAGCATTTTCTCCAACTGAGAAGTCCTGAAACGAAGGGAAATTCATATTCAGGAATTAATTTTAATAATTAATAATAAAGAATGAAATTATTAAGCTGGAACCCAAAACGCAAACCTGAAGGCAAATTGAACAGGAGATTCTGTTCCGTGATGAATCTAAGATGTTTTCCTCTGTGATTCCAATCTCCTGAATCCGCCGGAACGAAGCTATCATCGAAAACCCGGCGACCTTAATCCTAGATTCCGCGTTGTTTCTGGGATAAAACGCAGCCACCTAACGAAATAGTACAAAATATATATTAACATATGTCCTTTCCATCTTCTATGTATTCTGCCTCAGTGACACGATGACTCTGTGACTAAGTGTTTTTTAATGGGTGACTCTGTGTTGTTTCTTTACGTGGATGGACACAAAAACAAGAAGAGCATTCAAGGACCACTGTCCCACTCACAAACAATGCGTTATCATTGCATGGCCGGAAATGAAAAAAAGAAAAAAGGGAAAGGGGGAATTGAAGTGACCGGCGCACTTAAGCAGATAATGATGTTTACCCGTTGAAGGAGATGCCTGATTTCAATATCATCAGAAGTTCTCCACAGAGAAAGTGAAAGTGTAAAGAGCCTGGGCAAGAGAAGACTGCATTTAGTAGCTCCAACAGTAGCTCCATAGAGACACCCAGTGTTCGTTCTTATCCCTACTATAGCTCCCAAAATGGCTCCAAAGGTTGCTCCCGCTGCAGATAATAAAAACAGGGATTCACTCAAAATTAAATTCTCTCTCTGAATTTACAGTGAACTTGAGAAGAAAAAGGAAAGAAAGAGAAGTTGGTCATTTTTGTTCAAATTTGCGAAGAAATTAATTCTTAGTTATATTTTGAGTCAAATTTTGAAGTACCAACAGAAGTTGCCGTATCAGGCAAGAGAAAAACAGAGGAACTGACCTACTGCAAATATGAAGATGGCGATGGCGTATAACAATTTAGTGATAAACTTTGAAATGGCAAAGCAACACAACTCCCTAGCCTTTTCTCCCGTAAAACATGACATTATAGAAGAAGAAGAAGAAGAAGAAGAAGAAGAAGAAGACGATGATGGTGATGAACAAGGAGAAGATGTGCAGGAGAAAGTTTCCATACAAAGAGGTAAAGAATTAAAGAAGGAATAAATCGAACAAGTTAGCCGAAGAAGTTTGGGTCATTCCCCCTTTTAAAGCTTCGGAGGCTGAACGTGGAGACTCAGTGCAGGTCAAGGTCGTCGTCCAATCACAGAGGATTGTTCCGGGATAGGCAGCGTGGCCTGGCGCAGCCTGCTTACCTAACGAAATATCTGAAAATTTCAACTTGGCTCGTGTTAAAATTGTAAAACACTCCTCTAACTTCTGAGTTTCTTTGAAGAAAGAGACATTTCATTTTTTTCAATATGTGCACACTCAGGTTCACATTTCGGGGCAAAAACCAACATGTAGCCCCTCATCTTATAAAATTGATAGGTTTTAACCCCTCACCTTATAATATGATAGTTTTAATCTTTTATCTTACAAAGTTGATAAGTTTTATCCCATCACCTTACAAAATTGATAGCTTTTAACTCTTTACATTATATGATGATATTTTTAGCCCATCACCGATACGACTTAAAAAAAATAACTCTCATCTAATATCAGGTTATAACGTTTTGTTTGTTGACTGTTAACATCCGTTACCATTCTGTTATAAAAAGGCATAAAATTTAAATTTAATTTTATTTGTTAGTTCCATTAACGAAATGTTAACGGATGTTAATAATCAACTAATAAAACTGACAATCGGTTAACAGAACTAATAGAACATTATAATATGATATTAAATAAGGGTTATTTTCTTCAATTCGTACAGATAAAGGGTTAAAAGTATCATAATATAAGATGAGGGATTAAAACCTATTAATTTTGTAAGGTGAGGGATTAAACTTACAAATTTTATAAGATTAAAGGTTAAAACTTATCAATTTTGTAAGATGAGGGGCTCAAAGTTGGTTTTAGCCCACATTTCGGTACATACAGTAACTGAGTAACTTTCGTTTTCACTGGACTCTTTATTTCTAGGTCAAAATTATCCCTCCGCTTTCAAATTTGTTCTAAATTTATTCTTAAATTTCATAAATTGCCAAAAATATCTTTCAAACTTGGTTAAAACCCTTTTTTGGTCCCTGAACTATTATACAGACCTCTGATTTGGTCCCTAAACTAAAAAAATCCTTGATTTAATCCCTACTGTTTACCATTTTTACGTCGATTTGGTCATTCCATTAAAAATTGTGTGACGTGGCATGTTACTTAACGGTTACCAGATGACATGTCATATAATAATCCACGTGGAAGATAATATAACCAAAAAGTGATGAT